ACCCGGTGAGTGGCGCCGGGCCCTGCTCCACTAATGACCGGCGGCCGGGAAGACAAGCGCGGCGGCGGCGCAGGGGCGGCTGTGTCAAGCTTGTGCAGTACCAGCAGTCTGCTGCAGAGGGCGCTCTTCAGCACCTTTCACCTCGGTTGCCTGCTCGCTCCTTCACACGCTTCCTTCCTGTCTTTATTTTTTTTAAGTCATAACTGGAAGAAATTGTTGTGTTTATCATTTTTAGAAAAACCAAAACTAATTTATAAAACGAAAAGTGTGAAGGAAATCCTTCTCAGATAAGTTGTCTTCCATTGAAAGCCATTTGCTCGGGTATTTTTTTTTTTTAAAAAGACACATTGAGTGACTGAAATAATTAGTTTAAAATATCGAATGCATGGTGGGTAAACGGAATCTAGTTCAATAGTTCAAACATTTCGAATTGTTTGTTACAATTATGCACATTTTAGCTTACAGTCAACGAAACCTCAAATTCACCACCTCAAAAAAATTACAGTACATCAACATTATTTCTAATCTTTCGGTCAGAATTGGCCGTGTGAAATATGTGTTTCATTCAAAAATATTTAGATTTATATTTTTTTGTAACTGAACTATCCAAATAAGTAAACTTTGCTGCCATATTTTTATTTATTGACCTGCACCTGAACTTGCCAAATGTTGCATATAGGGTGCCAACTATTTGTCATAAAACGTGCACGAGTTCATCCCGACTAGTTTCGATGCTTTCGTTCTGTTATTTTATAAAGACAGTGAATCGCAATTCATTCTTGCTTGAAACCTTGATTCGTTTATATGCAATTCATGAGTTCAATTTTTGTTCACCGTGTCGATGAAGACGACGGTGGATCGAAAAGTTGTCCTCAAAACAGTATTTTTTTTCTCGCTTAGGCATTTCCCCCCTCACAACTGGCGTTTATTTTCCTGACTGTGTGTGTTAATAATTGGTTGAATCCACTAGAAGCGAAATTATTCCACGAGCCACAATTGAGATTTTTTTTAAATAACAACGTCGGCTAATTTCAGAACTGTGTGCATTCTCCTCTCGTATAATTTCAATCCAGGAAATAAAAATGAAGAAAAAAAAAACAAATGAGTGTTATGAGAGGCAACGAGAATAAAATGTGCTTTGCGTCGGTAAAT